CGTCGAAGATGTGATACAGTTTTTGCAAGACAATGTTTGTGATTCGGAACCATCGACATCCGCCACAACTGTCAACGCAGAAAAGCAGGAACCTGAACATATGGACCAAGCGAGTACGCAACAAAACGTCGATGTCACCAAAGAAATGGCACAAGAAAGTGTATGCGACATAGAACAATCAACACTTGTGAGTTTCCCCGAAAAACAAACTATAAAAAAACGTGTTGTGTATGATGATGAACTTGTATTGGACGACAAAACAGGTGAACTACGGCACAAAATACCAGATGACTTCATAGTTGCAAATGACGACGATACAGATTCAGAAATTCAGAGCTTTCTTTGATATTTTTATTTCTGTAGGAACCAACAAGGTTTATGCTTTTAGTTGAAAAGCAAGGTTTGTCTGCATCAAAATAATTTCTTCAGGAACAGACAAAGTTTATGTCCTTTGGTGAAAAGCAAAACGTGTTTGTATCAAAATGTCTTCTGGAAATTATCACCGAATTGCTTCAAGGACCGATATAGATCCAGAGGAGTTTTTAGTCTGTCCATACGACCCCATCCATCGGGTCGCATCTAAACGCTTTCCTTATCATATTATGAAATGTAAAAAAGTAAGTACTGTAAAATACTTTATTTTCACTGGAGTATGTTGACACCCTGGCACGTTACCTATGTGCTAACGTGCATTGAGACTGTTAACGCAAAATCGCAAAATTAACATCACGTTAATGCACAGCTAACAATTTGGTAAACAAGTTTTGAGCTGTACTGTTCTCCCAGCACACAGGAGTTCTTTTCTAAGCTTTCTTTGATTTATATGATGTAATAATGCGTTTATTCTATGTTGTCACTTATCGTTTCAATGCCATGCCTGTGTGTAATTACATACTCATTATGTACTGCATGACTCTTTATCTCAGAACCATCCTACTAAAAGAATGGACACGTGTCCATTCAATGCTCGTCACATTATAGAGCACCATCTCTTCCGGCATCATATTTGTAACTGTCCGGATAAAGCTGTGATAGAGAATGATATAATCCACCAGCAAGGTATTGGCAGTAGTGGTAGTCTATTCAAAGGCAATACAGATGTACCGCCGTACCATAACCCTGAGTGGGAAATGCCAGAGCCAGAAGAAAACTGGGACTTAGGTAGGTTGCGTTGATCTGCATGTATCCGCCATTAACACAACTTCAATGAAGTTACTATTCAAGAAAGTCTACAAACTGTAACTCTTTCAATTGGTTTGAGCAAAGATGAACGTTATTTGATGACCCCAAATTTGAACACAAAGCATTGCTGCTGTATTTGCTCTATTAGAAGTGTATCTCCAATAACAATGCATATAAACAGAATTGTATGCTGGATCATTTAAAATATTACTACTTTTGACCATAGAAACACCTCTGTAATTTACCAGGACCAGTAATTAAGTTGATGAATTTTATCATTTCTGATCACTTTATTTGCTCCATTAGAAGTGCACAAAAACAGTGTATTTATACTGCACTGGATCAATCATATGAATAATTATGGTAATAGACTGATCAGTGCATGCTTTACTTATCGATCAAAATATGATGCTTATATTTTTATGTAATCTTTTAAGCCATGACCAGAAAGCACTCTTGCATGAGGAGACAAATGTCTCATTCATGGCTTTTAAATGAAAGTACTGTATGTACATGTGTAAATGAAAAGCAAAAAAATAGTCAGCCAATACTAGACATCTATTTTACAGATGAAAACCAGACACACATGTACGGATCAAATAATGTCCAACCATCTACTATGAGTGTGTAAGTATTAACTTGTATTTCTTTGTGAAGCAGCAAACATGGAGATGATTTGATGGTCTTTTGATATGATGCTTAGATTTTTACCTGTTTTAAATACAGTATACTGTCTGTGTAGAATGCACAGTACTGATATTCATGTGTAAACTACTTCTGGATGTCATCTGTATGCCTGCTGAGAATTTGTTACCTCATCGCCAAAACGAGAGAATTTGATTGCATTTCCAGGGCTATGTTATAACCTGCACGCTGTCTTCTCGTATCAGAGAGACTGCTGTTCAAAATTCACATATTGTACTTTATGGATTTGAATACCTGTCTTTACATTAATTTTCTCAATATGTATGTAATCTTGAGGTCCATGGTTCAAATCCTGTGTAAAGCCACTTTTTTCACTTGCATTTATAGTTGTATATTTACATGTTTTGTATCGTCTTACTTCAGTGATTGGATGACTAACGCAGAGCGTAAAAGGTATCACAATAACTTAATAGAAGAAGCCAGGAGGCGGGCTCAAGGGCTGTGAGTGATTTATATAATTAATATTGCAGAATTTTTTAAATGTGTGTGGCGAATTGATTATCTTCTTTTTCATAATGTTTATTTTTTGCACTTAAACCAGTTTCAAGATTTTCACTGAATCAGAAAGTTGATGTTCCATGTGGAGAATTCAAGGAATTTCAATTCCTGCTCTTTCTGTATACTGTAAAACATGTCTGTTTCGCAAGCATGTCTTTTTAGCGAGAAAACTAATTCGCTAATTCAAGATGTCGCTAATGACTTTATTATAAATTCAAAATGGCCAAATTTGAGTCGCTTCCTAATTACACTTGACAGTTTTGCTTTGTTTTTATGGAGGTGATAACTGCACATTTGTTTTGGCAAGCGACAGGCAAGTATTGTGAAAACCGGAAATCAACAATGACAAGAGAGATTAGCTAAATCATCATTTCGCTATTACGTCATTTTACCACAATTCGCTAAAATTCCATGCCGCTTTTTCAACAAGTTTTACGATAGTTTGATAAATATTCAATATATTCCAATCTTAACAAAAGATAAATATTTGGTTACTGATTTTGAAGGCCAGTCCAACCAGAAGAAGACAGGCCTCAAAATGATAAACCACTGAGACTTCCAAAGGAAACTCCAATGGTGCTGCAACAACAAAAACAAGTAGAGAAAACAGGTGTGTGACACAGCGTGGAATTTCTCACAGTACTGATTTTCAAACTTAGAAGAACAGTGCAAGTAGGATGCACTTGTTTACATTTTTCGTGTGTTGTCAGTTTGGCAGTCTTTTGGAGCTAAGGGTAAAAAAATTGTGTCATTTGCTGTCGTTATTAAAATTAGTAGCACATATGCTTATATATATTATGACAGAGAGTGTATGGTCAAAATGAGTCATACTTTAATACTTTCACCCTTTACACACTCTCATGATCTTTTATTTTATTGAAAAAACACCCAAAAATAAATAAGTCGGTATGCAAGTCTAGTAGCTCTGCTGATATAGCTAATTTGATGTCAGGTCGTTTGCTTGTTCACAAGGTCACTCAAAGCAGGTGTTTTTAGTGTGCATTATGTGCTTAATTTATTATTATCAATATTCTAGGTGCTGATAAAATTGCTGCGAATATATTTGGTGACGATAATGATGAGAAGAATGGTATTGTTCCCACGGAGAACATGTTCTTGAAGGCATCGTATAACATTGCAAGTTTATATACTCTTGATAAAAAACCAGCAACAAATAGTGTTTTGGGGCAAGTTGCTAAAACTGCTGCGACGCATGCTTTACTTGAAGAACTTCAAAAAAGCTCCAATTCTTTGTCGGCACCTCCTCCGAGGATGTCACAGGTCACAGAGGATTTGCCAGTTGCCACCACTCTTGCTTTGACACCAATGCATTATGTGGCAAATACAGATACTCAGACAGCACCTATGAACTACGCCATGGCTATTTCTAATAGATCAACAGAGGTTGTGCCACGGCGGTCCTCATCAACTCCAGATGGAACATCGGTGTTTGTGAGTGCAGGGTTGGGAAGAGGTCGAGGCCGGGGTATCATGGACTTGTTAAAGAGACCAGGTGGCAATATCAGTCACATTGGAGGAAAGAAATTTGCAACTAATGAAGCCATAGGAGTACAACAGTCTATTGGTGTTCGGCAAGTACAGCCCTATGTAGAGCCACTTAGTATGACTGAGACATGTACTCAGAATATTTCAGTGAATTCAGCACTACCCACTGGTAAGTCAGTGTTCGTTTTATTTTACATGTGTCACAGTCTGCACTAATGCTGTAGATTATAGCTTAAATCTGCCACAATACTTGAACCTAAAGAAAAATGTCAGTAGTTGATGAGTACAAAGATACATGTATGTTGTATATGGGCCGGAGGACTTGAATGTTATCAAATTGTTTTATTTCTATTCATTTTTCAAAAGAAGTTTATCAATTTTGTAGTTGAAATTTCTATTGCAGAAAAATGTAAGACCGACAAAATTATGAAAAACTAAAAAAAAAACACAATTCTGTGATCAGTTGGAATTCTAGAAGACAAATTTTAAAAATCTGGCAAATAATTATGTGGTTACATTTTTAGAGTTGGTAATTGGCAGTATGTACCGGTACGTTATAACAGCGCTGTCTGCTTTCTGTATCTCCTCGTTGAGTTTAATTGTGACTACGGTCAATCTTGTTCTTACTGAATTCAACTCGTTAAGGGATACTATTTGTAATTGTAAACTATCTTGCAGATGTACTATCCGATGTTCAGTTGCAAGAAAGAAAAGAAGCTGAAAAGGTAAATTATTTTTATTGCTGAAATAGTTTAATTTACTAGTCTATTGCTTGTTGTGGGTAATAACGTTTAAAAAAGTCCTTGTTAAAGAAATGAACCCTGATTTTTGGACCCAACAGACCAATTGAAGTCAATTTTCAGTTTTCGCTAAAGGCAACTTGGTTATTTTTGTTCCAAGCTTCCGAAGGATGTGACTGTTTTGTGAATTTGTGATGAAAAGCGGGATCCTGTGGTGAAATAGCTAAATGCTATGTCACTATACTCTATTTGCTCTGTTAGTAGTGCTTGCATTTGCGTAAATGCCTAAATTCATATTTTTACATTTATTTGCACTTCCAATACTGTATTTATTACTCTTAAGTGTTTGCGAAATCTACAGAGATGTTTAAAGCGTGGTAGTCGTCGCGCTGCGCATGTGCGAGATATATGGGTCTCATATAAACAAAGATGGCGACTTTGACTGTTGCGCAGATCAACGAGTACGAACTGAGACATTTCCAAGCTTTAATTAGGCAATTTCATGTGATTGGGAAGTATCGAAGGAGTCCTCGTCGGTAATCAGTGCAAGTCGCGCCCAGGTCAAACCTCATACTTGTGATTTCCATTTGAAGAACGCATTGGGTTGTGGGAAAATCAATGTTTATCAACACAAATGTCGCGACGACTACCGCGCTTAAATGTTTCAGTATATACACCAAATACAATTTTGAGTTTAAATGTGCTTTTAATAGAGAAAATGGAGTATTGGTGGGAATTGACTAGATTCTTTGTTGGCAAGTGTTGGGCACAACCTGACTTGTACGGTGTGTTATTGTTTGCTCGTGTGTATAACATCTCTATACTTGTGTTTTCAGGAAGCAACGAAAAAGAAAAAAGTACGGAAGCTAAATAAGAAGCTAAAACAGGTATGCCAGATTATCCTTGCGTGCTCTATTCTTAGTTGGGAATAATTGTTACCTATCATATTTCATTTTAATATTTCTTTGATTTAGCTTGTTATATAATACATCTGTTTGGTGTTTAAAAATACCGTAATTTGACTATTTCTATTGTTTTGTAAACTTTGCAGATTACTTTATTAGAACAAAAAAAAAGTGAAGGTGGAGATCTTAATGAAGAGGAGGTAATATAAATACTTACTACTCAATGTGAAATGTTATTTTGTCTTACTGTGGACTACTTTCCTTCCACAAAATGAACATAAATTACAATACTCAAGAAATTTGTACCTGTGAATTTTCGATCAGCTTAGCTTCTCTGACACTGATCCATGGCAAACACATGGTTAACAATTTAAAAATTCAAAACTTTTGAAGAGTATTCAAAAGAATCAATAGAATCATTGTTAACTACCGTACTCGACCCCGTTAGCGCCCAGCGCCGAGCGCCCCCCTCCAAAAATAGTGCAAATGAAAACTGTTATTCATCAAGTGACAGATTACGTCTTTGAGGGAAAATCAAATTACAAAATTAGTTAAGTCGTCATTGATTTTCACAATAAAGAAACAGAAATGATCACAAAAAATATGCATATTTTATTACAATATTGATTACGTACCACCAGAATTTACGAAATTAAAAACGTTTGAGTCTGTTGGATCACAGTCGAAGTCAAAATTGTCATATTATCTCCACTGACGAAGGTGTTGGATCGTACGCAAACTCTCGATGAAAATCGCTTTTCGCCATGATGCATTTGCAGATTTTACCTGCAGCAGCGTCCTTTGACCTAATGGGTCAAGTTGGTTATTAACCAATCAGAATGCTGTGTTGTATTGACGCCATTCTTCGGAAATTTCCGAAGACTTTCCGGTAACACAATGCGGAAGTGAATTGTCGAAGTACGATCTGTACGAATTGATTTTAGCGAATAAACGCCATGGTTTTTTTCAAAAAACTAGTAACTACGGTAGCCATTTTTGAGAGGTAAACTGAATATGGCATGAAATATTTACCACACTTTACTTGTATTAACAGGTCATTGTCGAAGCGTAGTTTACGCATGGTTACCGTGTTCTACGCCTTCACAACATGTTCACAGCGGTCGATATCCACGCTGTATCATATAAAAACGATTACCTGGATTCGTTATGCAAGACCAAGTTTTAAATTAGTTGCATTTTGAAGGGGTGGGCGCTTTGTCGAATGTGACCCCAAATATAAAAATTTTGCAAAAGTGGGGGGTGGGCGCTTGCCCGGGCATGGGCGCTGACGCGGTCAAGTACGGTAACAAATTCAGTTATTGGTTGATTCCTTTTATAACAATCAGTTATTGGTTGATTCCTTTTATAACAATCAGTTATTGGTTGATTCCTTTTATAACAATCAGTTATTGGTTGATTCCTTTTATAACATTCAGTTATTGGTTGATTCCTTTTATCACATTCAGTTATTGGTTGATTCATTTTATAACATTCAGTTATTGGTTGATTCCTTTTATCACATTCAGTTATTGGTTGATTCCTTTTATCACATTCAGTTATTGGTTGTTTCCTTTTATCACATTCAGTTATTGGTTGATTCCTTTTATCACATTCAGTTATTGGTTGATTCCTTTTATCACATTCAGTTATTGGTTGATTCCTTTTATCACATTCAGTTATTGGTTGATTCCTTTTATCACATTCAGTTATTGGTTGATTTCTTTTATCACATTCAGTTATTGGTTGATTCCTTTTATAACATTCAGTTATTGGTTGATTCCTTTTATCACATTCAGTTATTGGTTGTTTCCTTTTATCACATTCAGTTATTGGTTGATTCCTTTTATCACATTCAGTTATTGGTTGATTCCTTTTATAACATTTAGTTATTGGTTGATTCCTTTTATAACATTCAGTTATTGGTTGATTCCTTTTATAACATTCAGTTATTGGTTGATTCCTTTTATAACATTCAGTTATTGGTTGTTTCCTTTTATCACATTCAGTTATTGGTTGTTTCCTTTTATCACAGGTCAACAAAGTTTCCAAGAAAGACCGCCTCATTGAAAAGTTGTCATCACTTACGTAAGTAATATAACTATAAACCATATAGTCACTATTATTTAAATGACCTGCTGACATATTCCACCATACACAGTAATATTTAACATTCTACCAAAGTTTTACATACTCATAATGTTTGAATTATCTTGTTTAATAGTTTAAAAGTTGCATTGTCTGAAACTTGCAGTTGAAAGCCCTTTCAATTTCAACATACTCTTAGCTATGATCAGTTCATAGACTTCACTGAACTAAATCTAGTTTGAATTGTGCTTCGGGAGCACGCTAAGAACAACTAACCTAGGAAGTACTTATTCTTCAAAGATTTGAAAGGAGAGACAAAATGGCTATACAGGATATACATGTAATACTTATTGCTTTTGAAGTACTATCTGAGGGTACTCCCTGTTAAAGATAAAACATATTCTACATTACACAGACAAAAACCAACAATATATTAAGTACAACTATTATCTTTTACAGAAATAAATTAATTTTATATATTTGGCACTGCAATATCACAATTGAATAGTGTATAGTTCATCTTTTATAGTATAACAGAGAGTCTTATATGCAATTTTGCTTACCGTACAAGTTTAAAATTATGTATGCTTAGGGCATTGTCTAACTCTGTATTTTGTGTTAAAAGTTTGACATAAACATGACATTAATTGCTCTTGCCTACAGTGGACTTGACAAAACCTGGATACTCTCACCAGTCTACATTGAAAAGATTTAAACTCTCATGTCTATGGTATGAAGTGTCATGTCAGATTTCTCTCCTGGGTTAAAACAAATTCCCTCGTGTATTAACAGTGATGTAATAGTATTTATCATGGTGGTGTTGACCTATGGCAATGCTGCTGTCGATTTGTGTACTGGCATTTTGTCGTAACTATGCCAACCCAAATCACAGTCAGTTTCAGCCAGATCGGATGAAATTCTCAGTCACTGGTAATATATTCAATACAGTATTTGCTCTATGAGACGTACATCCACAATAAACCTAATTAAACTGCATTAACCTTTTCACCACCAGTTCCCTCTTTTCATCACAAATTCACAAAATAGTCCCATTTATAGTCTGCACTTGTATTCAGAAGATTGGAACAAAAATAGCCACATTTTTTGAGTCAAAACTGAAAATTGGCTCAAATTTTGACTGTTGGCTCCAAAATTAGGGATCATTTCCAGAAATATTGAAGAATGTAAGAGGTAAAAATGTGCAGACAAATTTTGGCGAGAAAGTCTGGTGGTGAAAGGGTTAACCGGCAACAAGTTGGTGGTATTTGACATCAAACTTGAAATGTTAATATGAAACAGGATTTTAATGTGAGCACATGTGTCTCAAATAGAGCAATACAGAAATTATCACCTTATTTTTTGATTATATAAATTTACTTCTACTCTTGAAGTGAAAGTTTCCTTAAATAAAGATAGAACAGCTGATTTTGCATTTCTGTCCTTTGAGAATTCATTTACCACATATGGAGAGGTAAATCTGACAAAATTTAACAATATTTGCTTCATTTCCAAAATCATATTTTATTTCCCATCTTTTTAAAACCTTGACATTGCTAATGAAATTTAACTTTTTTAAATAATTTTACGTTGTAATTACTTTTGGTTTTATATAGCTGTTTATAAAAATGTATACATACTTAACGTTATTTATTCTTTTTCCCCCATCATATTCATTTTTTTTGTTCTCATAAAATAATGTTCCACCGAAAGATGCTTTTTGACTCTTCTTATTTCAATGAAAAGAGTAAACTGCTGTCAATGTTTATCCATAGTGTGCAAAGTAGGTAGTTACTTTGCATTCTGGGTAACCATTTCCTGTAGGTCTGTTGTGGGTTAGCACGTCAAAATGATATTTGGTCCTCGTGTCAAGATGCCCACACCCAGAATGACTTTTCAACTTGTTTACTATTTTGTTGTTTGCATTTTGTTTATATGAATTTATAAATAATTTTATTTTACTAATTATAATTTATTTCAATAATATTCTTTTGATAAAGTATGTGTACATAATTGTTATCAATATTTATTGTTCATCTGTTTCTATTGCAGATTGCTGGACAGTGACAGATGATGACAAATATGAAGAGGAATTAAAGTAGACATTTTTATATTTTGTTATGAAATCAAAGTTTTTATCATTTACTAATATACCATTTTTTGTGATATTCTGTGATATATGTTATGGACAAATTTTGAAGAAAAAAAAATCACGCTAGAGCCACTTTTTTTCCCCTCGAGTTTGAAAACAAGTATTTAAACAGGTTTTTCTGCTGCATTTCTTTCAGTACTGCTATGTAACTTGTTGCGAACGAGATTTAACAATTAATTAGCCATTTATAATATTCCCTGTCCATACTACCATATATAGTCTGTTCACTTTTATTTTTTCATTTTTATGTAGATGTTAATGAAAATATTTTTTTTTGAAAAATGCAAATTTTATTAGGCCGAAAGGTTTCTGTGATTTGTTTACGTAGAAAGGGACAAAGTTTGAACACAAGCATATTTTTAAGGATATTTTAAGTTTTTATAATTCACAAATTTCTCTTAAAATCACTGGACTGATGAATGCTGGAACTTCTGCAGGAAATGTTGCTGTAAAATACCAACATAAGCAACTGATATTTTTAAAAACATTTTGTTTATTCTGTAGCACAGGCAAGAACGAGTTGAGAGGGTTTTATCTAAATCATGGTGGGTGATGGGATACAATTTGGGGTATTTCTAGTTTATCTCTAACGATCTTCACAAGTTGCAAAACATTGTTGTGCCTAACTGATGATGTCATTGTTGTCCCAGTGTAAACCACCCCACCCCCCACCCCCCACCCCCACCCCTGCAGACATGCATAAAATATTATATCCATTTTTGCATTGTTCACACTAGGGCAACTATAATTTGTGGAACAGAGAAATTGTGGAAGCACATATGCATTGAGCTGTATGTTTCTTTTATTATAACACAGGGTCCTTAAATAGATTTAATTTGTATAAAGTTTTTTTCTGATTGCGCAGTGTTTACATGTGTGTATGTTGGTGTCGCTGTTCAATTCAACAGTCATTCTTGATGAGAATTGAACTTTTGTATTGTTACAATTCTGAATTTGAGGTCTGCCAGAAAATAGCATTTTACCCGAAAATGTTGTTGTTCACTTACGGGCTGTGGATAATTTAAATACTTGCACAGTAGACGTAATTTCCTTAGCGCACAGAAGATGACATAATTATTTTTTTGCGAACATTAGTGGAAAACGTCTTTGGAAATCATCTTTTTTCTCTCTTAAACCATTATGATTATGCTTGTTTATAAACATGATTTACTTGCCCTTTACCTGACTTTCCCGACTTACTGGACATACCTGGCTTACTTGACTTTGTGGTGCTCTCTTGGTGAGATGTCAGTTTTTGTATGATTTTCACTAAATTAAAATCTTGATTATGCTATGTTTTTAACCGCCACAACCATCAACCCACACTGTGTTCAATATGGATTCTATGTGACATAAACAATGTGTGTAAAATACATTGTTTACAGGAAATTTGAACTGTTGCTTTGTGAATACTGTGACGGTACTCTGTATTTGCTCTGTCTCTGATACAATTAGCTCCTCATATTAATTTGAAAATACTGTCAAATCATTAATTTTCATTGGAATTTAATATCACTAGAGTATGGTGAGAAAATTGTAATTTTTTGTCGATGAACATAGCAAAACTAAAACCCAATGAATAATTAATGCATCTACATGAAAGTATTCTTGAAATTTGAAAACCCCAGTTTTTTTGTTTGAGGTTTGTTGTCTATGGTATTGTTGCTGTTAAATTAACAGGGACAATGCTTGAATGGTGTATGAATGTCTGAAGTTATTAACTTAGGATATTGTCACTGTGAAAGTATGATGTTGACTACATACTGAAATGGAGCATTATTCAAAGAAGATATAGCAAGGTGTGCTTACTCTGATGTGGTCATGATGACACAAAAAACTTGACGATTGAATTGTTTCGCTGAGGATTATTCCGTAAAGAATTGCTGAAATTAATTTCATCTATCAGTAAAAGGGACGTTGTTGTTTTGATGATGGTCTATGAATGACTGTCTTTAAAAGGATCCATCCACATCTGATGGTGTTCTCCCTCGCAATGGGACTATAGCACATTATTATACATCTGTCACCATAACGCCATAAGTTGCAGCGTGCCGTAATTTTATGAGGTATTTTCATCCTACCATATAAGGAAATGCGAATTCTAAATATGGAATAATTACGCGCGTAAGCGTCCTATAATAATAATAATAATAATAATAATAATAAAAACAACCATGACTGCCACCAGGGTTTGACCGAGCTCCATGCAAAGAAGTTGCTGAATTCTGTTCTAAACTTTTTGGATTTCGTCATTCCCATGATGTATCCTTGGAGGAAAAGATGTATAATAATGTTTTTACGTGGATACCTCAAAGTATGCCTAAGACAGTATGCCGTTGCATCACCCTATACTCCCGCTGTACTGTCTTCGTGCATACTTTGAAGTATCCTCGTAATAACCTCATAATATGTGATGCAACAAGACACTTAGTGCGATTGCCTGTCTGTATTCTGTGGTATTGTCATATTAACTAAGTTTTGTTCAGTCCATCTGTTCATGTTGGAAGAATGATGTTGTCATGGAAACTGGATGAAGATGTGTATGATTCGATTATGTAATGAACATGTTGATAATTTGATATTGTGATAATTTTATAAAGAATACTGTTTTTAAAGACTTTATAGATTTTTTTTTTTCTGGTTGCCAAAAAAGGGTGATAAATCCAGAATGTATGCTGATGTTATTGGGAATTTTTAGCTCAGTGAGAAATGTAACCATCTTTTTTTCATGCATGTTGATTACTTGGGATTGTTAGGTGAATCAATGTAACCACTGCCTATATTTCAAATTGAAAAGTGTGAAATTTTTACCAAAATCCCTAGTGGATAGAATAAGTAAACAGAACAGTGTAATCTAAAAGTGGCAACTCATGACATTTATTTAAAATTATTGGTAGGTTGTTTACCTAAAGGTATCCCAAGCAGTTTTAGACTTTGTAAAATGGATAGATTGCCTTATTACCAACATGCTAATTTCAAAAAGCTGGATTATGTAGGGACTTTTAAAAAAGTTGATGGCAACAAGATATTGAGAGAGAGCGTCTCCAAATCTTGATCAAACCAGTTACCAGCGTTGTCAAGATAAATCCCTTTAGTTTAGAAAAATGTTGTCGCAGTCAACTTTTTATTTAGAATCATTTTGACTGCCATATCAACTAGACAGGGATTTTTATTTAGTCTTTGCATCAGGAAAGCATAAAAACATTTTTGTTCACCCATTTCTCAGGTTACATTAATGTCAGGGATTTAAAAACAAACATTTATTTTATCAAAACTTATTTTTCTGTTTACAACATGTATTTCTGTATTAACTTTTGCTGTTCATGTTTATATAATAAAATATTGTTATTATATTTAATAATTTTAATTTTTTTTCTGAGTTTCATTGTATGCTGCAAATCTTTCAGACATTTCTGATGTCCATTTCGCTGTGTCCATAAACATGGATTTCTTGATATCTAATACCTTTAGTATAGACCGAGTAATTTTACCAGTGCATACTTAGTAAAAGTTGTCATATTGGCATATTTGAGTAAGTTTTATGGCGTTTACAAGTTATACTATTCAAAACCTTGTACCTTGCGTAATTTGTCTATTAATTTATATATTAATTCACTGCAATAAATGCACATGTGCATTTCTGCTCTCATTGTGCCTCTGGAGCAACTAAACAACTAATGAATGAACTGGGAATTATGGATGTTCAGCATTTACTTGGACACTGGTAACGCAAGTAAATAATCCTGTATCTTCTAATGGGAGAACCACTGTCTTGTTGGCTTGGCCAACCTTTTGAATACCGTAAAATACTTTATTTTTGCTTGGAATTGACTTTTTCTGAAGGAGTGATTCATATGAATTTCAGTGAAAATAAAATACAGCGAATATACCTTTTTAGTCCCCGTTCGGACGCAGTCCGAAAACGGGGACTTATGTTTTGCCCTGTGTGCGTCCGTGCGTCCGTGATCACCTGTATCTCGAACATGCATGGACCGATTAAGTTCAAACTTCACTCATACATCACACATTATATGGGACATATGCACATGCATTTTTTTCATGATC